AACTCAGTAGGATAATAAAAATCCACCGTTTATTTATGCATCCGTAAATCATAGATTCTAATCGTTCTATTTCTATTTTTGAATTTCTTTTTAATAACGCCCCGACATACGATCCACATGTGATTTTTTATTAGTAATTTAGAACTGCGCAATGAAAGACGTTGTTTTAAACTTCTATTTGTACCCCATACAAATCTACCAATGACCCATAATGGAATTTTATCATGTAGAATGGATGATGCTATAGTGCCCATCACATTTCGTAGAAACAGATCTGTAAATCGCTGGCGTAATTTCTATTCTTGTCTCGTTCTAACGTCAGGGACATCAGATTGACTTGCGTAATGAAGTAATGCTAATTTAAAGATTCGTAATAGGTGTAATATGCCAGAACCTTCGGGAAAAAAGTTGGATTGATTAATTATTTATTGATTGCAGAATTAATATCAAATGTGTCTTGATTTTTTGTGTACCAGAGTACATGCATTGCGGAATTAATATCACGATTTTTTGTGCACCGGAGTATATGCATTGTGGATCAACAAAAAATCTTCTGAGCTGATAATAATATTCCGAACTTGAAAATTTTCACATTAAATATATTACTTTATTATAACAATGACGAGTAACACTAATAATAATTCCGGTCGAAGTGAAATACTTGATCCATTATATGAAGTGCTATTATATCAGAAGAAAGATATAATAGCTATTCAGAAAAAACTCGGTACAAATAGTAAGGCAAATCAAACAGCAGTGCATCAAAGCAATAAAGCGAAAACACTTCCTGATTTATATGAGTTATTGTTAGAATCGGTGGGAGATTTAATACCGATAGAGAAAAATCTTAACATTGATGGCAATTCCGTTCTAGTAGTGGAATATCGAAGCAATAAAACTCGTGAAGCTTCTATGGATATTTCAATTGGGGAAATATATAATTTGCTTGTTTGTTTAGAAGAGGATATAATAACAATTCAGGACGAACTAGGTATTATTGGATATTCTAATAGAGGAAGGGCAGAAGAAGCCGATGAAAATGCAAGGGCATATCTTCGAAAGTTTGAGAAATTTCACGGTCCCCTAGAAGATGATCCAGGTGTGGTATTAAAGAAATATGGCGAAATGGGGGTAAAGAAAATTAGGTTTACTGGAGAGGGACTTCCGCTAATTCCAAATCTTACTCCTCAACAATAGAAATAGAACGATTAGAATCTATGATTTACGGATGCATAAATAAACGGTGGATTTTTATTATCCTACTGAGTT